AAACGCCATGAGCGCGCTTTTGTTGACATTTAACGATAACGAAATCGACTGCAACCAAATTTCCAACATGTTAATATATCTTTGTAATTTAAGTTGTAATGAGTAAATACCACAGTCAGCAGCAAAGAGTGCGATGTCATCAGCATAAATGTAGACAGTAACTTCTTGATCTGTTGGAATTGTGCTCATTAAAGCATTAAATAATACTGGAGATAAGACTGCTCCTTGGGGAACTCCGCGCGTTTGTTTAAATCTAGATGAGGAACATCCATCCTTGACGCAGTAGAATTCTCTTGATTTTAAGAATTCTGCCACCCACTCAATAAAATATTGTGGGAAGTTCAATCTCTCTAGCGTATTTAACAATATGAAGTGCTCCACACTGTCATACGCCTTGGCTATGTCAAGCGTTACTAAAGCAGCGTATTGCCTTCTTTTACGCGCGAGCTGTATTCGGCTCTCTAAATCAGCATGGGCACACCAAATTGAGAAATCACTACGAAAGCCGATTTGGTTCGGTTTTATTACTAAATTGTCTGCCATCCAGATACTTACTCGGCTATGTAGGACCCTCTCTACTAGTTTGACCATGTTAGATGTTAAAGAGATTGGCCTGATATTATCGACTGTTAATCCTCCACCCGGCTTTTTTAGTATAGGAATCACCTTTGCTATCCTCCAATCCTGCGGCACCCATGAGTTTTTTAAGGAGTAGTTAATAACATTGGCGACGTCTCGAGGCGATAAATTGAACAGAATTTTAATCATGGGTACTGTGATTCCATCTGGGCCAGGAGATGCACAGGGTAAATGTTTAATCACGTTGGATACCTCAGTCTGTGTCACTTCTTCAAAGTCAGACTTTGTCGTAGACTTGTGCCAGTTGTTTGGCACTACTGAAGTGAATCTGCTTTCCAGACCTTTACCGATAGCCTCTAAGGTAGTGGTCATTTCTTGTGCCGACAGATTATCAAAAGCTACATTAACTGGTGATGGCAAGATTTTCCGAGCTCTCATATATCGGAACAGTGCTTTCATATGTTTAGGCTTCGACAGGTATTCATAATGTCTTCTGTCATAATCTTGTTTAGCCTGAGCTACCGTTCTTTTAAAGCCCGCAGCAATGAATTTATAATCGGCCCAGTTTTGTGGGGATTGATTATGTAAGAGCTGCTTCCAAGCTGCCTGACGTCTTCGGTGCTCTCTTGTACATTCATCATTCCACCAACGGTTATATACTCTTTTTGTGGATTCAACAGTAAATTCGGCTCTTTTGTAGGATCGTTTAATGACTGCGTTTATTTTCAGTGCTTTTTTATCATCGCTCTCTTCCGAGTGAAAAGCCAGTGCTGACTTCAGGTCATTCCTAAATTTAGTGTAATTTACAAATACTCTTACATTTGAACAAGATGGAATTATCGGACAAGAAATTTCAAAACTTATCGGTAAGTGGTCACTGTTGGTGCCACAGTCCAGCGCTTTCCAAGAAGAAGTACTAATGGCTGAACTGACAAAACTTAAATCTAAGGCCGACCTGGAGTGATTACGAATGAATGTGGGGGTTCTGACGTTGAGGCACGTCAGGTCATTGTCCAATGTCCACTCCCACAAGCGTTTCCCACTAAGATCAGTTCTAAAACCCCAACTCGTGTGTTGGGAATTAAAGTCTCCAACTAAAACTTTGTCTTTGCACCACGATTTTGTAGCTAGATCCAAACTTCGTGTGTCTTGAACTCCATCCGGAAAATACATATTAACTAAAGTGAAAGGAGAGCAGTTGGGCAGTGTAATGTCTACTGCCAAATTTCGCATTCTGGCGACATATGTTTGTATGAGCATTTGACTTTCATACTAATTCTATTACTAATAAAGAGAGCTAGACCCCCACCTCTCGATGGACGGTCTAATCGAAAAGATTGGAAGTTATTTAAATGGAACAAATTATGTACAGACAGCCATGTCTCTTGTAATGCTATAATATCAGGAGCGAATTTGGAAGTCAAGTATATCAAATCCGTAGATGCAGAATGAATTGATCGGCAATTCCAATGGAGAATCTTAAGCGACCCTATGGTTTCGAAAGAGCTGCTTCCGCTATAGCTTTCTCTAGAATGCTTTCTTTCAAGAAATCCCTCTTTGAAAGGCTCTCCTTTTCTTTCAGATACTTTTTGTTCTTTGTTTGTTTCGGTGAGTTAGTTTTCCTTGACACAGGGGATCTAGATCTCTTCAGGGACCTAGGGTCCAAATCCATGTCATCTGAATCTATTGTATATGCAGCTTTGTCTTCACTTACACTCTGTATATCTACTGCAGAGGGTGCTGTAGACGGAGAATACGATGGTGCGGTTTCAAATTCCTCATTTTGGCTGTGAACGCCTATTGCAGAGGCTCCTGCGGGCTGATAAGACGATGGCGCAGTTTCAGATTCACCGTCAGCTATTGGTCGTGAACTCTCAACATGTTGGGATACTAGGCCTGACTCTCCCGCTGTACCAAATATGCGAGTCATCTGGTTAGCCAAAACTTGAGATAGAGAATCGCAAAGGTTAGAAGTCAGTCGTTCCATGGCTTTTTCTAGAGCCTTTTCTATGGCCTCCGCTATATTCAGGGAAATCGGCCCATTTATTTCCGAGAGATGTCGTGCTGCAACACTGGCATACCCCTGAGTTCTAGTCTGTATTTCCGCTAGGGCTTCTCGTCGAGAACAGCGCCTACGCCCTATAATTTCAAGAATTTGCATTTCTCGAGCCTTTGCAGAACAATCAGGATTATCTGCACAGTGTTGTTCGTTGCAGAGACAACATTTCTCTTCTTTAGCTTTGCAGTAATTTGTTTCGTGGTTGTCACCACACACTCGGCATCTGAGTTCTGACCTGCATCCTTTAATAGTGTGACCGTATCGCCAGCACTTCGTACACTGGAGTGGTCGCGGTGATAGCGGTTCCACTCTGTATATTAGTGGCCATGCCTTGATTTCGCTTGGGAGATTCACTCCAGCAAAAGTTACAATTACCGACTCAGTCGGCGTCTTCTGCTTCTCTACTAGTCGTGCACACCTATAAACGGAAATAGCACCAGTCATGGCAAACATCTCTAATACCTCAGACGGGGTCAAGTTAACATCGACACCGCGAACAATACCTTTCACACATGCCAGATGCGGGGGAATAAAGGCGCTCACCGGATTGGTCGCGAAACTCGAGCACTTCAATAGGTCTTGGATACAGAGCTGATCAGATGAAAAGCATAGAACACCACCTCTGCCGAACTGGCGGACCTCTGTGATGCTGTGAAAGTGAGACGTCACAGCTCTAAGCTCCGCCTGGATCACTTTCGGATTCTTCATCCGAATGAAGCCGTCGTTGCTAGGGACGAGGGCCACAGGAACTGCGGGAATGCCGTTGCGTAGAAACTGATCCACTGGTATATCCTGTGGCGGAAGTGAAGCAGACCAGGGGCAAGCCCCTGGTCCAGGTGAAGAAAACTGCATCTAAGTGAACTTTCTAGCGCTAAAAGCGCTTACTTAGCTGTAAAAGCACTATAGGAACACCTAATAAAGACAAAGAAACCACAGCCACTACACAAACTTAGACCAAAACCCCAGAGCAAGCACGACCAGCATTCGCTATGCTAACCTTCATCGTTCTTTGGAGAAGCATACACGGTATCCGCTACACTCTTGTTGAAACGTTTGTGCAATTTTTTGCGCAGTGGATGACGACGATGAAGAAATATTCCTGAAGTGGTTATGCAGCACACTTAATAGGTGATCAAGATTAAGATTTCTGAAGGTTTGGAGCATTGGACGACCCAGTCAATACGAAATTCGCATTGTGTGACGCCTGGCTGTTCCTTTGATGTTCTAAAACGCTTTATTACTCATATAAAAGCGATTAATTTCCCGACATCAAGCCTGCCTAAGGCCAGTTTAGAAACGAGTTATAAGCACTGGTGTGGTTTAGTGGTATTATACTTGGCAGGCACGCCGTGGACCAGGGTTCGAATCCTATTGTGTTATTGGTGTTTTTTTTTTCATTTACTGAGTTTTTTCTTTCGTTTGATACTGGTTACGGGCGGCAGCTTTGGCGGACAATTACGGCGCTGCGAGTGATCCGTGCTCTGATCCCAGAACAGCTTCGCTGTAAAAAAAAAAGGTACTCAGGGATATCAATTCCCATTATATGCTAACACAGTTGCCTCATAGCAGAAGTAACCAGCGAGGACATGCAGCGAAAATAAAAGTTTCACTCGCGCACAACAAACCCTTGGTGAATGACAGTGCAGCGTGTGCGCAAACTGTTTTTATCATGGGGGGGGGGGGGGGGTGTATTTACTTTTTCACGTACTCGTTTCTGAAGCTGCTGGATATGTGGACGAAACAATGCTTCGTCTGATAATATGTTCAGTTTCATTATCTGGTCAATGAAATTCTGAAAAGCCTCAATATATTTTAAAAGGCCCCTATGTTACTGCTACGATGTCTTACCCTCCTTTTTCACCTGTTAATCATGCCTCGTTCACGATTATTTCAATTTTTCTTTTTTACCTGTAGCCCTACTTTGTGGGCGAAGTTCGGGGGCGGCGGAATTTTGACAGCTCCATGAATTAGAGGCGCTTTAGGCAAAAGTGTACTTCCCTGACTTTTGAAAGGAGTCCAATTCCTTTTTCTCCTACATAAAGAGAGGCATATCGCGACATATCAGAAATTTTGGCATTGGGAGCGTTGTGCTGATGCAAGTACAAAAAACTAAAAATCCCAGAAATGCCAAGCCGGAGCTAGATAGTTACCTTTCAAAAACGAAGCGCCCATTTGTATTATAGGCACACTCACTTACTCGCTTTGGTAAGTGTGCATAGAAGCGATGCAAACACGGTAGTAATATTAAAAGCCCGTCGTCTCGTTATTTACCCTGTCTCATTGAAGCATCCTGCTTCAACATGTGTACTGAACATAAGTCGTCATTTTTTTGTGCTTAACCTTCTCGCCTCCGAGCGCACTATTATGTGCCTTGCATTACGTCTTTGGAACCCTGAAACGTAAAAAAAATATTCAAAGTATGCCCGTGCACCCGGACGGAAAAGAGGAAACCTATGTATAATGCAGTCGCCGTCGCGAAAATATGTGAGGAAAAGCAAGCGAGCGAAGTGCGCCTACTTACACATTCGAAAGTTGTGCCCTGTGTCCCCTTCACATGATTCGCGCAGCCAAGTGCTATCCAAGAGCCCACCATTGTCGTCTCGAAAAGCGATCACAGACGTGTTCAAAACCGTCTTGTTCAATTAGAGGCACCACACGCAACATTACTGGCACGAAAACAACGCGTAAGCCACGTACGCTGCAATGCGCCCATCCGCTTTCTGCCCTGAGCAATATGGCGGCGGTCGGCTTCAACCAAGGAGCCCCTCCGCCACTCCAGGAGTTTTAGTATAACCTCCTTGGAAAACAACCAGGGGGACTCTTTGAAAGGTGGTATAGACAGACACAATTCCAAAGTGGCACCAGTATCTAAGATACATAGAGTCCGGAGCAGAAATAGACGTAGCCACGAGCGCCGAGCCGATTCAGACATAGGGTATATTAACATGCAGGGTGGTAGGAACAGGCTGAAGTGGGAAGAGATAGCAAGAACAGCTAAGGGAGGAGAGGCCGATGGTATACGGTTATGTAGAAACACATCTCCGGGACATGGAACAACCTCCTAACAATGCAGACTACGCGGGGGAATATTGTAATTGAACAGAAGGCAGCAGGAAGGGGGCGGTATTGGGGCATTCATTCATAAAAGTACAGACTGGCAAAGGGTCAAGCAGGAGTGCAAGGAACATTTACGGCTAAAAGGGAAAGTGGCAGGGCAAGTAACACTCCTTGGTTTCGTGTACTTGTGGACGGGAGCAAAGGCCAGAGAGGAAAACCAGGCAATGGTAGAGTGTATATCAAATGACATTCAGGAGTTAGGAGGAGCGTGCGAGATAATTATACTATGAGATATGAATGCGCACATAGAAGACATAGATGGGTATACCGACCCGACAGGCAAAATGATCACGGATATGTGTGAAAGGCTTGATTTGATCATTTGCAACAGTACCTAGAAGTGTGAAGGGCAAATAATATGGGAGGTAGGAAGGCTGCATTCGACGATAGATTACGCACTGATGTCACATAGGATGTATGATAAGTTCAGGGAATGGCACATAGATGAAGGTGGCTCCAGAAGTCTGGGTAGTGATCACAAGCCTATCAAGCTAAGTTTTGGAAGAGCAGGGAAAGTGGGAAAGCGACAAGATGAGCAACTACAGGAAAACTTTTATTCAGGAAGGCAAATTGAAACAGCCACAAAACGAATTCAGAAAGTAATCACTGAGGAGAATAAAACAGTTTGGACATACACGAATCTAATTAGACTGTTTGAGCTAGAGCTTGCTAAGGCACGTGACAAGTCACCCCGGAAGAAAGACACAAACCCGAAAGTTGGTGGGATGAAGAAGTTAAGAGAGCCATAGCAAAACGTCAGGAAGCCTCTAGGGGACACAGACATTCTAAGCAGTGGGGTGAGCCGACAGATGATGTTGAAAGAAAATGGGAAATCTTTCTAAGCTGTAGAAGGGATGCATCCCTTCTGATCAATGAAAAGATTAGAAGAAAGGGAGCTCAGTGGCTAGCAGAAGTACATAAAAAAGATAGAAAGGCAGCTGCAAAATTTTGGAACCATCTAAACTCCCTAATAAATGAGACCAGCCTAGAGCAGAGGTTTATAACTACAGATCAAGGTGCTAGGCTAGAAGGGAACGAAGCTATTGAATTTATAAGAACAAGGGCGACATAAAAACTTCAACAAAAAAGTGCTTTATGCACCACAATAGACAAGGATGAATCAAGTGGCGCAATGGCTCCATTTTTACAACAAGAGTGGGAAAGGGCTCAGGAAAGGGTTCCTAGTAGTACATCAACAGGCCCAGATTGCATTCCAATTATGCTGATAAAGACATTAGGTCTGAAGTCTAAGCAGGCTTTGAGAGAGGCAGTGAGCAAATTGATAATCGATGGAGAAGTTCCCAATGAATGGAAACTTAGCAGCATAAGCATGGTCTATAAAGGAAAGGGGGACAAAGCTGACAAAAACAACTACCGTCCTATAACAGTAACATCAGTGGTCTACAGGCTGGCGATGCAGATTATAAAGGAAAGACTGCAGGCATGGATAGAGGATGAGGCGGTGCTAGGGGAACTGCAGAATGGGTTTCGGAAACACAGGAGATTGGAAGACAATCTGTTCTCACTGACACAGCGCATTGAAATAGCAGAAAAGGAACACAGGCCCCTGTGGCTAGCATTTTTAGATATCAAGGGAGCTTATGAAAGCATGGTTCAAGAGAAATTGTGGGGAATACTGGACACACTAGGCGTGGAACATGTCACTAATATCTTAAAGGAGGAGGAGGAAGGGAAGAAATGAAAGACAGGGAGGTCAACCAGACGCACGTCCGGTTTGCTACCCTGCACTGGGGGAAGAGGTGAGGGGATTAAAGGAGAAGAGAGAGAGAGAAGTGAAGGGCAACGTGTGTCTAGATGTGACCTTGTCCATTGCACGCTTATAAGCGGTCGCGTAGTCCGGTCGTCTTTAGAAAACTTAGCAATGCCCGCGTCGCTTTGCTGGCCAGCGACGCGTAGAGCCATGAGCCAAGTATCTTCTCTTCGGAAAAAGGTCTACTGTCTAGTGTCTCCAACGTTTCGCGTAGCAAGTTGCGGTCGCTCGCAAAACGTTCACATGAACACAGTAGATGTTCTATTGTCTCGTCAGTGTCGCACGATTCACATCGGGAGCTATCCGCCATTCCTATGCGAAAGGAGTACGCCTTTGTAAAAGCTACTCCTAACCACAGGCGGCACAGTAAAGTTGCATCCTGGCGGGAGAGGTCCTATAGAACTTGAAGCTTCCTCGATGGGTCCAATTTGTGTAGGCGGCGGTTCCTGACACTGGGGTCACTCAGCCAAGTTTCCGACATGGTGTTAGCGAACGAGTGAAGGCCCCTTGCAGCGTCGGTTCTCGACAATGGAATTGGGGTTGTCTGGGCATCCGCGTAGGCGGATCGGGCAGCATTATCAGCAAGGTCATTACCGACAATACCACAATGTCCCGGTAACCACTGGAACACCAAGTCATGTCCTTTCGATAAAACTTCGTGAATCACTTCTCTTATTTCATTCACTAGTTGTTGATGCTCCCTCTGTCGTAAAGCTGATTGCAAGCTCTGAAGGGATGCCTTGGAGTCGCAGAACACAGCCCATTTTTGAGGTCGGGCTTTTACAATATAAAGTATAGCAGCACGTAAGGCGGCAAGCTCCGCTGCTGTGGATGTTGTCCTATGCGACAGTTTGAGCTTTATAGTGACCTGGTACGCCGGGATGACAACAGCACCTGTGGAGCTGTCAGCTGAGACCAATCCATCGGTGTAAAAGTGGGTCCTCTGGCCGTATTTTTCGTTGAGTAGCGACAATGTCACCTGTCGTAGGACCACTGTTGAATGATGGTTCTTGTTCGTTATTCCCGGAATAGTGAGGCACACCTGTGGTTGTTGTAGGCACCACGGGGGTGACGCTGGTCTTGTTGCTGGAGTAAAGCCAAAAGGGAGGCATTCTCCATGGGCAGAAATAATCTTTGAAAAGATCGCGTGTGGTCTTTGAAGTGGCAACACTGCAACATGGTGACCAGGAACTCGGCAGAGGTGTCTTATGTGGGCTCTCAAATTGTCAGTGGTGACTAATATTTTAAAGGATATCTATAAAGGTAACAAGGTAGTTATAAAGTGGGAAAAACAGGTATCCAAGCCTGCAGAGGTAAAACGGGGGCTTAGGCAGGGGTGTCCCCTGTCACCCTTAGTATTCATGATGTACCTACAAGGATTAGAGGCCAAATTAAAGGGAAGTGGACTGGGCTTCAACATCTCTTTCGTCAAACAACGAAAACTCATTGAACAGGCACTACCAGCATTGATGTACGCGGATGATATAGTGCTAATGGCCGACAACAAGGAAGATTTGCAGAGATTGGTGGACTTCAGTGGTAATGAGGGAGATAGGTTAGATTTTATATTCAGTAAGAAAAAATCAGCAGTCATGATTTTTAATGACAATGAAGGTAGTGAGCTTAGAATACAGGAGGTCAGGCTAGAGATAATAAATAAATACAAATATCTGGGCGTATGGATAAGCAAAGGGGCCGAGTACCTAAGGAAACACGAAATATACGTGTCGACTAAAGGTAACAGGAATGCAGCGGTAATGAAAAACAGGGCACTGTGGAATTACAATAGGTATGATGTGAGAGGAATATCGAAAGGGGTCATGGTTCCTGGTCTGACGTTCGGCAATGCGGTCTTGTGCATGAGATCAGAAGTCCAAGCAAGATTAGAAATTAAGCAACATGTAATAGGTAGGCTTGCCTTAGGAGCTCACGGGAGTACACCAAATCAGGGAGTACAAGGTGATATGGGATGGACATCATTTGAGGGCAGGGAAGCTAGCAGCAAGATAAAATTTGAGAAGCGATTGAGAAAAATGGGGGAAGAGCGTTGGGCTAGGAAGGTTTTCAGCTACTTGTACATGAAGAATGTCGATACAAAATGGAGGAAGCGAACCAGGAAGTTGACTGGTAAATACTTAGAAAAATGCAGGTGGCCAAACCAAAAAGAACTATCGGTTAAGAAAAAAGTGAAGGAAACGGAGACTGACATGTGGAGAATGGGCATGATTAAGAAGTCCGCACTAGAGATCTATCGAAGTTTTAAGCAGGAAATTGCCAAGGAAAGGATCTATGATAACATTCGGGGTAGTTTTATACTGTTTGAGGCCAGAACGGTAGTATTGCGAACCAAGACATATCGCGCCAAATACGAATGGGTAGACACGGTATGCAGTGCGTGTGGAGAGGAAGAAGAAACTGCCGAACACTTGATAATGTTCTGTAAAGGGCTTCATTCTGTAGTTCAGGATGATGGCACAGAGTTTTTCAAAGCACTAGGGTTTAGGGACAGTGAGGGCAAAATAGACTTTAAGCGGGTAGAATTAACTAGAAGGAGGTTATGTGATTGATGGTTAAAGTCAAGGCACGAGTGAAAATTAAACCCTTCACTGCAAAGTACGAATCCTCAACCTCACTATTTAAGGGGAAAAAATAAATCTAGTTTTCGGTTCATTAAGTATTACGGCTTGGTGGCGCTAGCCACCACCCGACCTAAAGGGTACAGCCATATTCATCCATCCTTCCATCCATTCATCCATCCATCCATCCATACGTTTAAATATGGTGGCTAGAGGGGGGAAGTGTGACGGGCAAGAGCGGAGGGCTGTACGAATTCCCGATGAAAGATGGCGGCCACACCAGGTGGCGCTACCTGCGCCGTAGGTGCTTGCGGCGGTATTTGCCTGCTTTGCGTATGCTGCTAGACGTTAGTTTCACTTCTTTCTAATAATCGCTTATACACCGCGCCCGTGCTGTTAAAGGCACTACGTGTTTGTTTCGCGAAGAAGCATGTGTTGTAAGTTCTGAGCGGTGCTAAGCAATAGAAAAAAAAACAAGAATGCTTTTAAATCAGACGGAGGTTATCATATATAAATGTTTCCTAATATCGGTTTCCTTTGACATGTTTAATCTGCAACAGCGTGCAAAACTAGGCTAGTTGGTTGATCTTCATGGTAAAAGCAGCGCAAAAGTACGGCGAGAAGGAGAACGACAGAGGACAGGCGCTAAATTTTCAGCGCCCGTCCTATGTCGTTCTTATTATCGTGTTCTTGTTGAGCTGATTTTACCATGTTTATAGTCTAGTTCAGTTGAAATAAACGACTTGCCGACTTTACATTTCACAAAGAGGGAAAAACACTAAACTGTTTCCATCATTCATAGCGAATATATTGGCTGCAGTGCAGTGCGTTTTTTTTTTTTAATTTTCTCTCAGTCCGTACCCCCCCCCCCCTTCATTTCCTCTTAATTGTAGGGGCTTCCCTTCGGCGTGAAATTTTCGAAGCATTTACGTTTTCGGCTCCTTTTCCTTGAGAAACTTGAAGTGGAGATTGGAATGCTGCAGCTGGAGGCTCTTTGATATTGAACATTTTGTTTGAATATTTTAGCGATAGTTCTATCTATGCAAGATCCAATGATTTCTGTTAACTTACGGCTTTAGATGCATACTAAATACACGCAAGGGAAATGGTAAAACATGTTTATTTATCACACATTTGTCATAACATACTTCCATATCACGTTAAGAGGCCAAATTACTTGACCCTCCTCAACTTCAAGTGTTTCTGGCGCTCCCTTTGGACACTCCTGTCTTTGTTCAAAGATTTTGTCCAGAAGTGCATACGCGTGAGCAGAAAAAACTGGACTACTTTTGCGGTCAGTTCTTTGCTGTGAATTTCGCAGCCAACTCTATCCAGTTTGATACCTGCCAAGAACTGCATGAAGTCGTGTATGCTGAAGGAGTGCAACTTTTCAGCAGAAAAGTAGAACGTAAATGTATCCTCCAAGGTTTTCACAAGTTTGGCCAGATTGTCACAAGGATACAGCAATCCTCCTTTGTCGAATTCACAGACTAATTCACTGTTCGGTTTGACAATGGCTCCTGATTTCTTGGTGGCAAGAGTGGAAATGCACTCGTTGCAAGAGCTTTGTTTGTTGAATTTTTTCGCAACATAGCCAGCAACGTAATAAATGAGACGGCTGTCACTTTTCTGAACGGCGTAGCTGCTGTGGTCACCACTTAGAGACTGCAGTGTAGACCTAGCCCCATCAACATCTCCAACTTCAAGCATATCTTCGATCATGTCTCGTATGCCGAAAATGGCATCACCTGTGGCTGGTGATGAAGTGTCAATGAGAGCTGTTACTAGCTCTGCTGGGGAGTTCCCACTCTTTGGTGGTCTAGCAAGATTGTAAAAAGACAAGCAATTTACAGTCACTAGGAACTGCCCGGGATTTGGATGGTCATTAGTACCAGAATATTGCCTAATTATTCCGAAAATATTCTCTAGTTTGTCCTGGCTGAGTCGGGCTGTTGGCATGTACCTAAAGCCGAGAGACTTTGTCAAGTAGGTAAGAAGTGAAAGCGTGCTACATAAAGTAACACGCAAACCTTCTGCAGTGCTCTTACTCACGAATCCCCCACCGGCTGTTTTTGCTGCTGCTTCCCAGTGATCCATAAATAAAAGGAACGCCTCGAGCTCAGCAACTTTCTCTGATGATGGTCTGAGCCCCTCTCGCGGGCACCTGGACGTCATCACAGCTATTAGTCGACTCATTCGCTTTACAAGCTCCACTGTGGGCATTAGTTTTGAACGAGAAATCTCGTCAATGTCTGATGCGAACAAAAACATGCCTTTCAAAACTTCATCACTGAACAGTGTGAACGCCAAGTTAACTTTCATTTTCTCAAAAGAATTGGGCCGAATGTGCACTCTCGTAATATGTGGCATGGCCTTCAGAGTTAAAGAACTTTTGTCTTTCTCCCATGCTGCCTCAATGTCCTCAACACACGCACGACCATCTTGAGTGGTGAACCCGGTGCTTACAAATGAGTTGCGAACACATTTCACTAAATGTGGGAAGTCGGAGCAGAAGTGAAGCTTTCTGGAGGGGTCCACAGGGTGGGTAACATTGCAGGTGGTCTTGACTGAGGATGCTGAAATAAAGAAAAAAGAAGCAGTCAGCATCTCTGCTTTTCAAACCTCACTGTTCTGGGAATATATCGCTGATATTGAGATGCATATATATTGTTTCACGTGCCCCATGGACATAGCAGGCATGTTGAAATTGGCCACAATAGAACAAATAGTTCTGTTTCATACCGCCAATTCCAAATGACCTCCACATGCTCCGATTCCAGGTCGCTCCATCACAGGATACAAAGTCGACGAAAAGTCCGGCTTGTTCTGACAGTAGAATGGCCTCTAGAAGAAGCTTCGCCAGCATTTCTGCTTTGATGTTCCCTTTGGATGAAAACACTCCCAATATCTGTGTCCAGTCACCTGCACAAAATCAGTCATATAGTTAGACTCATGTTTATAGCAAGACAGCTGCCTGACCTGCTAAGTTGTTTCGCACAAAATTGACAGGCTTTCTTGCACCTTACACAAGTGCAATTCGCTATGCTGACTAGGCACTCTCAATAAACGTGACATCTAATAAGGAGCCGACTTGAAGTTCTTCATTAATTTGGCAAAGTGAAAGTGCTTTTATCAGTAAACATGTGTTGGCACACAAAATTGATAATAACGCTTCCTCACCTTGAAAAGGTTGAAACATCATCACCATCCCATGGTCGGCTGGAGTCGTCCGATCTTCCTCCTGGGTGAACTTTCCGAGGTCAACGAAGCCTTCCACTGTCCCTGGAAACAAGTTAAAAACGAAAAACTGATTGCCTCCGCAGTATAAAAACAGGCCCTATACTGGGCAAACGTGGTGCATCTTCAGTGATCTGATGCTCGATTGAAGAAATGGTAGCGCTTACCTGCTGCACTGACGTTGAAATGCTCAGTCAACTTCATCTCATCGAAGATGATGCCTTCATGTCTACTGGAGATGTCCATATCTTTAGTCTTGATAGCAAGGGCGTTGAAAACTGCTTTGTTAAATCCAAAGCCACTTTTGAAGCTGCGAGTATAGCGCTGGAGACACGTCCTGCTTGGTAATATAAGAACTTTTTGCTTACGAAGCTGCTCGTATAGTTTAGCACTACGCATCCGCAGAAGTACACACTCCAAAATCCATTCCTTCTCATACAACACCCCAGATGTTGATTTTCTTGTAGCTGCCTCGAAGCAGGCCCTGACAGCCATTTGTTGCTTTTCAGGCAAACTTTTAATGCGAGCGCCCAGCACCTCGTCGGCAATTTGTTGATTTGCCTGCCGCATCGCTGCTAATTCGCGTTCTGCATTCAGCAGCTTCTTCTGAGCAGTACGCAACCTGCGGCGTGTGTTAGCGAGCTTCTTCTGACGTTTGTACATGCCCCCGCTACGCCGCTTTCGCGACATTTGGTTTTGCACCAGTTTTCTGAGGTATTTGCAGTGTATGCAGGAGCCACTCTCACACACATAAGTACACTTGGCAGAAAAGTAATTCCCAGCAAACAATACATACTGTCCTTGCTTTTCCGGTCTCATGCCGCAGCCTTGACACAATGCAAGTGCATGTGTGCTGTCGAGCACCGACTGCGCTTCTTCCGGCGAGGAGACGGTACACTGTGAATGCAGTTTGCCCCTCAAGTATACAAAGCAACACAATGAGTTCTGTTGGCTGCTATTAGCTTTGAATTTCACAAACTTGGGCAGCAAGATGTGGTCCACCTGCTCGCCCTCGAGCTCACAAACGCCGTATAACGCAGAATCACGTTCACTGCAAAACGTTAACTTGTTCCATGTTTCGTCGGGTAGACGGAGGTTGCCGCACACCCTTTGAACTTCGGCGTCGGCGTGAACTGCATCAGATGTCTCCACCTCGGGAAGAACATTGGGATCCTCGTGCTCCTGCTGCTGCACGTGTGCTTCGGGCTCTTGCCTGCTGACAGAGTTCGGCTTCTGCCGTTTTTTAGCAGGTCCGCGCTGCTCACATATATTTCTGTCCTTTCTTTTCACGGGCGCTTTTTTGGTAAAGTACTTCGGTGCGTCTGGGAACAGCGTAGGCACCGCATCTTCTGATAAACGCGGACAATCGCGGGGTATCTCGACACCTCACCGTTTATAATGTGGCGGTATGTCCTTTCGATGAAACTGGCGTCGAAATGCCGCTCGCAAACGACACTGTCTCTCGTCAGCTCTTTGTCAGCCCGCTTAATATTTCGAGCCCATTGCTCTCGCCTCGAGAGATCCTTCGGGGCTTTAAAGACGGAAAGCTTCTCCGAGCACGATCTATACCCGCCTTTACAGCCAGAGACGAAGCATGTACTTGCACGACTTGACGGCATGGTTCGCAGAACACATGGGTAAACAAACGACAGCGAGCGCGTAGCATCCGAACAAGGTGACGGCACAGCACAGAGAGGGTGGTGGTAGTGGTTACAATGAAGAGGAAAAAGGCACGTAATTTCTGTCTGCCTTCAGGCGACACGGCGCAGTGCCTTGTAGGGTTGGGGGGAAGGAGGGATAAAAAGAATAGAAGGAAAATAGACGGAGAAGAAGACAGCCAACGAGAGGAAAAAGAAGGAGATAGGAAAGTGGGGATCCGGTCGAAGCAGTCCAAGGGCGGGGCACCACAATGCGAGAGCTGCACGGCTTCAGGAGACCGCGGAGGGCGAACCAGTCGGCGGGAGCTACGCTGAAGTCGGAGATCGCAAGGGCACAACCGTCCAGCTTGAAATCCTGCGAGCGAATCCAAGAGAGAACGAGCGTGCCAAAGCAAGCGTGGCGAGCACCTACTACTACACCAGCGCCCCTTGCGGCGGCCAGAACTTTCATTGCGTTCCGCGCATCCCTCTCCCATGGCGGGGATACAGCGCCCGTCACACTTCCCCCCTCTAGCCACCATAGTTTAAATTTACATACGAACCCAATAAAGTGGCTGGGGGCATAGCCGCCGTAATAGCTCAGTGGTAGATCATCGAACGCGTAATTCGAAAGTCGCAGGTTCGATAATTCCTGCTCACGGCAAGTTATTTTTTCACCCACTTTTCTTTCTTCTTATTTTACATTACATTGGTTCTAATAACGGGCCCTATACATTCTTTGGCACATTATTGTCTGTTAGATCTCATTATATATATATATATATATATATATATATATATATATATATATATATATATATATATATATATATATATATATATATATATATATATATATATATATATGTGACGCTATGATGAATAGGAGACGTGGCCTGGCTCATACCCCATGTTTATTCTGTTGTGCACTTCTTCCTTCTCTGCCTCTCTTAACCATCACTTGATACGTCACACGATTCCCCCTCCCCCCGAAAGATGGCACCGTTTATAACCTACAAAAAATTGAAGAAGCAAATAAACAGACAATGTCCAAATTCGCAGTATCACGTCCCGACGGAGTTCCACAGTCTCTTTATATCTTCAAGCCCGAGGGAGCAGTCCGGTGAACTCTATAACAACTCTGGTGGGCGAGGCTGACTGTTGCGCCCGGGATAGCATAAGCCCGCCCTGCACATCTGCACTGATGATGACACATCTTGAGGTCTTGTGAGGAACGAACAAGGCTTGAAATCTGCGCAGCATTGGCTTGACGGATGTCTTTGGCATCGGATCCAGCGCCGTCGAGGCAACAAACGCTTTGCTTTTAGCCGGCGTGCGTGAGAACGAAGGCTGATGGGACGATGTCTTTTCTTCTCTGTTGTATACTTGATAGCTTCATGTCTCTTTCGTAACTTCATGTGGCGTTCTCTCAGTTTGTTGGATCGAAGGCACGGCGTTGAGAACTGGTGCAGAAAATTTTGTCGACGTTGCTTTCTCCGAAGGTGGCTTAGGCATTGACTTTGTCTTTGCTTCTTTAATTGTTGTAGTCTCTGGTGACCTTGAAGCCACAAGTGTACTTTTGCGGAGGTTTCAATTGATCGTTGTTCTTGTTCGAGTAGCCGTTGTAGTTCCTGTGGTTCGTGGAGTTGCCTTTGTTGAAATTGCTCGTTTTGTTGCGAAAGTTGGTCAGATGGGCATCTTTCAGGAAGATGATTCTGGTTTTCATTGCATGGTGATGTGTTCAGTAGACAGTCGGTAGTCGATACTGTACTGCTGGGCTTGTCTTGCGATGAAAGCAGCGTGACAGACTGATGAAAAAGCTCCCAAGATGGTGGTGGGTCATCATTGATTGTGAATGCTTCTGTCAGATGACAATGTACCAGCGTTGGTGGATTCGAAATTTCTGCAGTGCTTCGACTCACGTGTGTGTTATCACTTGACGATGAGAGCACAACAGACATGGCTTCAGGTGGTTCTGATGGCGTATGTTTTTCTTTTTGCAGCGTAGTTAGGCTGACAATGTCTGTCGAATCTAACGTTTGTACATGCCCCCGCTACGCCGCTTTCGCGACATTTGGTTTTGCACCAGTTTTCTGAGGTATTTGCAGTGTATGCAGGAGCCCACTCTCACACACATAAGTACACTTGGCAGAAAAGTAATTCCCAGCAAACAATACATACTGTCCTTGCTTTTCCGGTCTCATGCCGCAGCCCTTGACACAATGCAAGTGCATGTGTGCTGTCGAGCACCGACTGCGCTTCTTCGGCGAGGAGACGGTTACACTGTGAATGCAGTTTGCCCCTCAAGTATACAAAGCAACACAATGAGTTCTGTTGGCTGCTATTAGCTTTGAATTTCACAAACTTGGGCAGCAAGATGTGGTCCACCTGCTCGCCCTCGAGCTCACAAACGCCGTATAACGCAGAATCACGTCACTGCAAAACGTTAACTTGTTCCATGTTTCGTCGGGTAGTGACGGAGGTTGCCGCACACCCTTTGAACTTCGGCGTCGGCGTGAACTGCATCAGATGTCTCCACTTCGGGAAGAACATTGGGATCCTCGTGCTCCTGCTGCTGCACGTGTGCTTCGGGCTCTTGCCTGCTGACAGAGTTCGGCTTTTGCCGTTTTTTAGCAGGTCCGCGCTGCTCACATATATTTCTGTCCTTTCTTTTCACGGGCGCTTTTTTGGTAAAGTACTTCGGTGCGTCTGGGAACAGCGTAGGCACCGCATCTTCTGATAAACGCGGACAATCGCGGGGTATCTCGACAACCTCACCGTTTATAATGTGGCGGTATGTCCTTTCGATGAAACTGGCGTCGAAATGCCGCTCGCAAACGACACTGTCTCTCGTCAGCTCTTTGTCAGCCCGCTTAATATTTCGAGCCCATTGCTCTCGCCTCGAGAGATCCTTCGGGGCTTTAAAGACGGAAAGCTTCTCCGAGCACGATCTATACCCGCCTTTACAGCCAGAGACGAAGCATGTACTTGCACGACTTGACGGCATGGTTCGCAGAACACATGGGTAAACAAACGACAGCGAGCGCGTAGCATCCGAACAAGGTGACGGAACAGCACAGAGAGGGTGGTGGTAGTGGTTACAATGAAGAGGAAAAAGGCACGTAATTTCTGTCTGCCTTCAGGCGACACGGCGCAGTGCCTTGTAGGGTTGGGGGGAAGGAGGGATAAAAAGAATAGAAGGAAAATAGACGGAGAAGAAGACAGCCAACGAGAGGAAAAAGAAGGAGATAGGAAAGTGGGGATCCGGTCGAAGCAGTCCAAGGGCGGGGCGCCACAATGCGAGAGCTGCACGGCTTCAGGAGACCGCGGAGGGCGAACCAGTCGGCGGGAGCTACGCTGAAGTCGGAGATCGCGAGGGCACAACCGTCCAGCTTGAAATCCTGCGAGCGAATCCAACCGCTCGCTGGGAACAATGCCTTCGGTGTACGTTCACGGTCTCCGAAACGTGGTGGAAAGGGAAAGCCGGAGCCGTGGTGAGAGAACACGACGCGACGACACTTCCATGACCAAGACAGTCACCCCCTGAGGAAGGGACCGAGTCGGTCCCGAAACGTCGGGCTCTTTTTGAACTGTGGCTGGAGCAATTTCAATTTTCTAAACTTTTCTACCCAGCCAGACAGATTGCTGTCAAAATGTTTACGTTTAAGAGAGAACGAGCGTGCCAAAGCAAGCGTGGCGAGCACCTACTACTACACCAGCGCCCCTTGCGGCGGCCAGAACTTTCATTGCGTTCCGCGCATCCCTCTCCCATGGCGGGGATACAGCGCCCGTCACACTTCCCCCCTCTAGCCACCATAGTTTAAATTTACATACGAACCCAATAAAGTGGCTGGGGGCATAGCCGCCGTAATAGCTCAGTGGTAGATCATCGAACGCGTCATTCGAAAGTCGTAGGTTCGATTCCTGCTCACGGCAAGTTATTTTTTCACCCACTTTTCTTTCTTCTTATTTTACATTACATTGGTTCTAATAACGGGCCCTATACATTCTTTGGCACATTATTGTCTGTTAGATCTCATTATATATATATATATATATATATATATATATATATATATATATATATATATATATATATATATATATCAAGGAACAAGCAAGCTTCTCCCGTCATCCACCTGCTTTCGGCGTCGACTCCCACACAGCCATGCCTGGGACAGTCTGAAGTGGACGTTTTGGTGAAGTGCATTGCAACTGTACTTCTCGCTATACCGTCACTGGTATCGTCGACATCGACCGATGCCAAGGAAGGAAACGCCGGACGAATGTCGGCGAAAACACATTCGACCATGTTTACATTTATTATGGCTCCTAAATCTCGCAAACTTACTTTTTATAACAGTCCGACGGGTTGCTATTGCATTCATAGCTTCAGCCTTTTGCCGAAACTCCTTCTTCGCTTATATGCAATGAAGCTTTTCAGGTCTGCAGCTGCCGCAGTAAGACCAATAAAATGTTCGAGCACGCAAATTGCAGCAACAGGACATGACACACGCTATAATTTAATAGTCACCGTCATGATGAATGATCGCGCCGTCGCTATACTACAACCCTG